CAGTAAAAAGCAGCAGCAGCTTCAGTTAACCAGCCAAGTCCCCACAATGAAAGAATGTGAAAATAAACTGTCTCAGCTTCCCATCCCTCTATTAATGGCCCACAGGTCCTGCAACAGCTGGGATGGAGGAATCATGTGCTGAAGAAAAGGAACAGTAAAAACTTATACAGTCTGATGCAGTGGTGCAACAAGCTTCAACAGTTCATCGCTCTTAAATTCCACTCAGGTCACAATCGCGCTATTGAACAGAGTACGGACAGCATGGGAAAACGACACGAGCTTTCTCGTAAAGGATTTGGAAAAGCCTCCCTTCTTTCCTCTTCTGTTAATTCCAGCGGGAGGTTCTCCTTCCAGTTCCCTGGGTCTTAGTTCACACATTTATAATCCCAAGAGCAAGGCGCTGGTATCGCTCTGGAAGGCGAGAAGGGAGACCTGTTGTTCCCTCTGCGTTAGTCCTCTGCCCGCTCTGGCCCCGGCCAGTCCCACCGACGATGCTTCAGAACCGAGATACCCAGCCGAAAAGGGTCAACGAAACCGGCTGAGAACGGAGCCAGCGCCGGGAGGCACAGGCGGGGGAGGAAGGCCCCGGAGTCAGACGGGGGCACCGGCAGCTCCCGCCCGGGCTCGCCGCTCCTCTTCCCAGCGGCAAGGCCCGACGAACAATGATGCCGGTTGAGGAGACAGGGCTTTTCTGATCCCCCCACCTCCGCTCCTCACTGGGAGCGCCGAACCCAGCCGGGCCGGGCCTCCCCTCGCCCCGCCGGAGGCCCCAGCGACGTCGGCAGCGCGGCCCCACAGCCCGCGCACAGAGTCCGGGACTCAACGAAGCCCCTCAGGAGCGAGTCCGGCCGCAGAGGCCCTGGCACAGAGCGAGCCCTCCCTCCGGCCTCTACCGAACGGCGGGGCAAGCTCCCCCGCGGCGGGAGGACTCGCGTCGCTGCGGGCCGGGCCCGGCTCCGCCCGCCGCCGCCGCCGCCTCCTCCTCCTCCTCCACGTCCGTGGTGGCCGGCGAGAGGCCGGCTGAGGCCGGGTAGGTGCCGCTGCGTCCCGCAGCAGCCTAGGCCCGGCGGTGCCGCCGCGGCCTCAAGGGGCGGTAAAGGCCCTTCACGCTCCGGAGAGCCCCGATCGCCACTGCCGCCGACCCCCGACCCGCTGCCGGCACCGAGCACCACCAACACCACCTCCCGCTTCTCCCAGCGCCCTCCGCGGCTCCTGCATAAATCAGTGCGTGCCCACAATGCACCGCGTGGGGAGGCTCCTTCCCCACCGCCGGGGACCCAGGTTCGAGTCCCGCTGCCCCGCGCAGGCAGAGCTGCAGCCGTGTTGAGCGCCTTTCCCTTCTCTTACGAGCGATACTCCCGCCGCCCACGGGTGTCCGCCCGAAAGGAAGGGTGCCAGGGCTCTGGCGCTGAGCCCCGGGGTAGGAGGCGTGCTCGCTGAGGGCTGAGCAACAGGGCAGGTCTGCAGTCATCGCCGCCGCGTGTGCCAGAGCCGCCCCGCAGTCGAAGTCCTTCCCGCGGCCTGCGTGTCGCTGCACGGCCCTGCCGGGCGGGTCTGCCCGCTCCTGACAACAAACAGCCGCTGCCTGCTGCGGGCAGCGCCCGCTGGGCGGGAGCGGGGCCCTGCCCCGAGCCCTCGGCCCGATCTCATCACCTCGGCCCGCTCCAGCCACCTCAGGCCCTCTCCCACCACCTCAGCACCCCATCGCCTCAGCTTGCCCCCACCATCGACCTGGCCTCAGCCCGTACCCGGCATCTGCACCCTTACAGCGTTTGTGTGTCACAGAGCTGTGAGGTGATGGTCCTAACCTACTGAACAGTGTAACTAAGGCTCTGGTGAGTGAAACGGCTGGAGGTGCCAGGCTTGCATGCTGGGGCTGCAGAAAACAAAACCTGAAGGAGAGTAAGGAGCCATGTGCAGCCTTAATTCATATAACACGTATGCATGCTGCCCAAAGGCTTGGGACGATGGGTTCAAACTGAAACGGGAAGTTTAGATTGGATATAAGGAAGAAGTTCTTTACTGTGATGGTGGTGAGGCACTGCAATGGGTTGCCCAAGGAAGATGTGAATGCTCCATCCCTGGCGGTGTTCAAGGCCAGGTTGGACAGAGCCTTGGGTGCCATGGTTTAGTGTGAGGTGTCCCTGCCCATGGCAGGGCAGTTGGAACTGGATGATCTTAAGGGCCCTTCCAACCCAAACCATTCTATGATTCCAGGAGCACCCAAGGCCTCTCCCGCCTCACCCTGTGAGGAAGCGGTGCCACCATGTCAGCGCAGCTCCAATGTGACTTCTGTGGCTTATTCTCCCGAGGAAACAGGGCTTGGCTTCACTGACAAAAGACTCCTTATTTTCCTGTGTAAGCAGTTTCCAGACCAGCAGATAAACGTTTTCCACTTGTGTTTATATAGCTTCTGCTCTGATCCTGGAGGATTGTTTTCCTAAAGCTTTTAGCACGCACATGAGGAAGGCTGGAGTTTGTAAGCAAAGCTTAGAGAAATCTCTTCTCTCGCTTTGGGTTACCACTATGAATAAAGCGTTTGCATTTTGAACCCTATGCTTTGCTTTTACAGTGGAAAGCTCTGCAAGGCATCAAGGGCCACTTACGCAGGCAGAGGGATATCACGCCAAGAAGCAGCAGTCCCTGCACTGGAGAGGTTGTACTGATTTGTGACAGGATTATGGGACACTCGATTTGTAAACACACCACCTCAACACCCAGCGCTGGTTAGAAAGGGTCATTATGAGTCACGCTTCCTTCCCCAAACACAAATCTTTACAATTGCAAAGTTCCTACGCTGTGCGCTTTCCCTTTGCTGTTTGAACCTTTAGGGTGAATTCAGGTCACGTGTTTAAGTTATGAGGTCTAAATCTAGTTTTTATTCTCCTCTTGATGTTTTTGATGTGATCACATGACTTTGGAAAAAGCCAAATATTATAAGATACATTCAGGTCACGAGTTCTGGTTAGCACAGATTTAACGCTGAGTGATAAATGCACCGTTGAAGTGTAATTGTAGAAATGCTGAGATCTGACTTTTCAATATAAAAAGAATAGCAAAAAAAAATCCCAAATCAATTGTGCGCTTCCTGAGGAAACCTCCCAACGTTATGAATTAAGCTGTGTTGTCACAGTCTCGGTATAACCCAGTGCTGTTATCAGATAATCCTTTGCTTCCTCTATAATGCAATATTCAGGAGGGTAATAAAAAATAGAAGTCAAATTGATACCAGTCAAGTAAAGTGAGACTTTAAAAACTGAAAACATTTCAAAACAAGCAAAGAAATTCCTCTTGCTCATTATTTAAAAAAATACAGATCAACTTTTTGAAATATTAAAGTTTTTTTGCCCTATCTTCATTTTGCTCTCATTTACACTGCAAGCCTAATACCAAAGTGACAGCCTGCTTAATTTTTAGCAAAAAGCCCTCAATATTGAGAATTACTGATTTCACTGGGAAATTGTTTGTTAATAACAGTCTAGACACCAGCTCTTCAAATAAAGCCCTGCAGGCAGAGTAGTCTTTACACCTGTAGTGGCAGAACATCCATTTTGGATGTTACATCCACTGATCTACTGTAGGTACAGTTTTATACAGTTCTAGATTTCATGCTTATACTTGCACAAAAAAATTTTTGAAGCAAAGAAGACTGTTACATGTTAATTCTGAGAGGAGGAAGAACATCTTTTACAGACAACCTGGTAAAGGTATGTGAAGAAATGCTGATTTTTAGAATCATAGAATAGTTAGGGTTGGAAAGGACTCTAAGATCATCCAGTTCCACCCCCTTGCCATAGGCAGGGACATCTCACACTAAACCATGGTACCCAAGGCTCTGTCCAGCCTGGTCTTGAACACCGCCAGGGATGGAGCATTCAGAGCTTCCCTGGGCAACCCATTGCAGTGCCTCACCACCATCACAGTAAAGAACTTCCTCCTTATAAAATAACTTCCTACCATTCTCAAAATGGGGACCTGCAGCTGAAGTCCCTCATGAACTATTATTGCATGATAAACTTTCAATAAAATGTGCAGATATAACAATGAAAGTATGCAAAAAATAAGCCACCATCAACTGCATTCCATCAGTTGGAATAGGCTTCTTTATTACCAGGAAAGCAAAATTCTTCCTTCCATTGACAAAAAGCATTGAATTTCATCCCAGCCGACGTTTCCACACTACAGTGGCTTCAAGGGATTCAGAAATTTGTTCAGAAGGGAACAATCTATAGGACTGGAACCGTAACTACTTTTGGAAAAGAGACTGAAAAACTACGAAACCTACTCATGACACAATATAGAATCATAGAATGGTTTGGGTTGGAAAGGACCTTAAGATCGTCCAGCTCCAACCCCCCTGCCATGGGCAGGGACACCTCACACTAAACCATGTCACCCAAGGCTCTGTCCAACCTGGCCTTGAACACTGCCAGGGATGGAGCATTCACAACTTCCCTGGACAACCCATTCCAGTGCCTCACCACCCTTACAGTAAAGAACTTCTTCCTTATATCCAATCTAAACTTCCCCTGTTTAAGTTTGAACCCATTACCCCTTGTCCTATCACTACAGTCCCTAATGAAGAGTCCCTCCCCAGCATCCCTATAGCCGCCCTTCAGATACTGGAAGGCTGCTCTGGGGTCTCCACAAGGCTTCTCTTCTCCAGGCTGAACAGCCGCAACTTTCTCAGCCTGTCTTCATACAGGAGGTGCTCCAGTCCCCTGATCATCCTCATGGCCTCCTCTGGACTTGTTCCAACAGTTCCATGTCCTTTTTATGTTGAGGACACCAGAACTGCACACAATGCTCCAAGTGAGGTCTCACGGGAGCAAAGTAGAGGGGCAGGATCACCTCCTTCAACCTGCTGGTCACGCTCCTTTTGATGCAGCCCAGGATACGGTTGGCTTTCTGGGCTGCAAGCGCACACTGAATCCACCTCATGTTCATTTTCTCATTGACCAACACCCCCAACATCAACGACCAACACCACCCTTCCTTGGGCAACCCATTCTGGTGCCTCACCACTCTTATTTTCAAGAGTTTAAGGGAATTACCTTGTTACCACTCCTTGACAAGCGATGAACATTTCCAGCATAGAGCAGAGATCTGAATATGAGAGCCTGTGTAGGCAACTGGTTCCCAGTGCTGGGGGTTTCCCTGTGGCAGGACCACTGCCAAGCACTAACTCCTGCCAGCAGACCTTACAGGTTGTGCCAGTCCCCTTCCTAAACCGAGTTCCCAATTGTTCTTCCCTGCAAATACATTCCTGAGGTGTGTCAGCTCTGGTGGTGAGGACAATGGAGTCATCACATACCTTTACTGATAGTAAAGTTCATTATTTTCTCCTTATCCTTAGGGAGTCACGAGTTCAGACGTGCTTGAACTGTTTGACCTGGCTTTGCCTAACTGATGTTGCAAGTTGAGGAAGGTCCAAATCCAGGTGGACAGTGCATGCAGGAAAGGCAAAATCCTCACCTTTCGTCTTCATTACTTTTGCTGTACCATCATGGATGAAGAGGACTTCAGCCTAAGGAGCTGTCAAGGCAGCATCTTCAAAATAATACGTTCAAGGAAGAATAGAACAAGGCTGAAAAATAAAGTGGAATTTACAGCTGCATGAACAAACACAATTTCACTTCAACTCATCCCACATAAAATGTGAAAACTAATAATGTTAGTAGAAAGAATCTGGCCTGATTTTATTTACGTTTAACATGAGTCAAGTGGAGACTTTGTGAGTGCAAGGGCAAAAGGCTGAACACCGTAAAGGCACAGAGTTGATAATCTCTATCAATTTGACACCATAACACATCCACTCAGATTCATGGATCTCAGAGCCAGGTTATGTGGAATACATCAATAAGTGAACCTCAGTATTCACCTAGATCCTGAAAGATGTCATTCCAGGTCATCTCAGAGAGAAAATGTAATTTCTTTGGAAACTAAGGTTTGTTTTGTTCTTAAATAGTTAAAACCAAATACTAGCTACCAACTATAATCACACTTCATTATGAAAGCAAAGAACCTACCACACAATTCCAAAATGGAGAGTGAATATGAATGAACCCCATATACTAATCTTCACTTCAACCACTTTGTTAACAAGGCACAGACACTCTCACATTCAGTTTTCTCAGCTCCTCACATCTGTGGTTGGCCTTCCCATCTGAGAGGCAGGAGGTTTTAGCTCTAGACCTTCCTCAGCCGCAAGGAGTTGTCACCTTTATCTTTGTCACCTTCAAATCATGTATCGCTCTCTGCATAAGTTTCAGAGGAGAGATGGAAATGTAAGTGGTTAAGCACTTTCTTCAGAAATGGGTTTCAGCCTCAGGTGGGTTCCCATGGCATATAAATGTCTGCTATATAAAAGGGAGGCACTGTCTCCTCGAGTATAAAGAGCTAAGTAAGTACCCACTTATGCCCAGAAGGATGGCTTAGTCCAGGAGGGAACTTGAATCCAGAATATCCTAGTTAAGGAATATGCCTCCCACATGACATTCTGCAAATACCTTCATTAAACACCTTGCTTTGTAAATGCTACACTTGAAGCCCAGACTGTGGATACAGCAGAATTTCTAAGGCACCTCAAAAACAGCTGAGAGGTTTGATTTTGAAGCCATATTGTTATCCCCGTGTGTAGTCCTCCATAGTCCAGAGCAGATTGGCCTAGGGTCAGGACTTCAAATGCTATAAACATGTCTGAATAATCAGATCTTTGCATATAATGCTCTGTGTCGCACGTAATACACATGAAATAATCAAGTCAGGAGAACTGCCAGGTTCTGCAAATGCTGGAATACCGACATATTTCTGACTCCTATTTACTTTGTAGTACAGGAAAACTAAAGCACAGGAAAAATGTTTTCCTGTACTGTTTATTAAAGTACAGGAAAAATGTTTCCTTTCTTTTATCTCCTGGGCATGATATGCTGAGATGTACTGTACGGGAGGCAGAGCAGTAGCAGCTCAGAGCTTTCTAACTACATGGGTATGATGTCGCTTTTGTGAGTTCAGCCTGAGGTCTGGCTCCCTGTCCATGCCATTTAGGGATACATAACACTTGCAGACACATCCAGAAAGACCTGTACTCCATACCTGCTGACAGCAAAGTAATCAGTTCGGAGACCCAGGTTAAATCTCTCCACTCTTTGCACCTCAAAACCACGTGATGAAATTCAAACAAAAGCTCTTAAAACAGGGAGGAGGGGGGGAAAGCAGTGCTTTCCTTTCCTGTCGCATGATAAATTAGCTCCTAATGTTTATCCAAGCTCAGCAAAACAGCAACCCCCTTCCTGCCAGGGAGGTGTCATGCTCCGGCCATGCCAAGCTGCCTTCCCTGTCCTCTGAGGACAAACACCTGCAGTCACCATGAGGAAGAGCTCCTCACCAGAGGGTGAAGGAGCAAAGCACTCCTCCATTCCCTTTGCAGCGGCGCGGGGTTGCATCTGCTGTTTTCTCTGCCCACAGAGTGATTTATGGTTCATTTGCACTGAAATTTCCTTTGTGAGCCTCAAAGCCACCCTACGCCAGCACAAAACCTCTGCCTAAAATAGTCTGAGATCACCTACACGGTTTTCCTTCTGAGTCGAGCTGATGGTACCTTATTTACTCCTTGTCCTTTAGACTTCATGACTTAGCAGCAGAACGCATTTTGAACACATTTCAGGCATTTTATACCAAAGTGAATAGATGAAAGAACAGGATTTTTGCCAACAGCATTGATTATTCTTTTGTCAGTAGATAGATTTGACCTAGACTATCCTGTTACCGTAACAAATGTCTCCAGAGGTTGCTAGACAGGAGATGCTTTGCCGGAGGGAAAAGGAATGAGAGGGGAAGAGACTGGAAGGTGGCCTATAGAGAAGAGGACAGAGGTAATTAATGGTTATGCCCATGTATAAAGATAAATGCACTAGTAAATGTGTCAGCCCTTCGGCAACAGAAGCCATGACATCTAGAAACCATGCCTTGACACAGTTCTTGACATCAACATTTATATAACATGGGTCCACATGGAGCGACATTGGATTAAGGGAAGTGTAAATCAAATCAGAATTGGCTGCTCTGAAATTTCAGAGGGTTTTGAATTGGATTTACTGCCTCTGATAAGAAGAAAAGTCTTCACAAAAGAAACCGGAGACATGCAGAAAACTATTTAGGAGCCCAGATGACCTTACATGATTTCTTTTGATGGGAATCATATGTATGTCAAGACCATAAATCTTTTCCAAATTTAGCTGCTATTCCTGCAGCCAAAATCACATAGGCCCACTCAAGTACAGACCCACTGAACTTGAAAAGGACTGCAGCTTCAGTTGTGCAATTGCAGTTCAGAGTTATTGCAGCTGTTGTCTTTTTTGTGTGGATTTACAGCAGCAGAAATCCCCTTGAGCTAGGCAGATTTCTAAAGCAAAGTATCATCTGTTTCAGTCTGGAGTGGAATATACCCCTAATATCTAATGTAAATGTAGTCTATAGTAAATGAATGTACTGATTTCAGCCCATCTTTAAATAGGTTTTGGAACTATAATGAAATATCTACTTAAAAGTGCTTTCAGTTTTAAGATCAGGGCAATAGGGTTGTGTGTTATTTAGCTACACATTTTCATTAAGAAAGAATACTTTTACAAAAGGTCAGATTCATGTGACACAGTTGTGAATAATATTGGAAGGAGAAACTGTCTGGAGTCAAGAACTCAGAACCAGCTGTGATAATGCAGCTCCTGACTAACTAAAACAGGTTTGGATACATTCCACCTGGCTGACCACCTACATCATGAACCTATTTACCCTTGTTTGCCTCTGTAATCAGTGGAGCAAGAGAGCCACTCCATGGGAATGATTCAGATCTTTGGTGTGGTCCATGAATCACCAGCTCAGGATGCTTGTCTCTTTTCATTGACTACAGAGGGAGCCTGGGGCAGCTGGACTCCTGCTGTGGGAGCCACAGTTAGATGTCTCACCCAGCCTGAGATGAATCTGGGCTGGGATGCTGGATACGTGCAAGAAAGAGCACAGCTTGTTTGTAGGCAACAAGTAAAATGAATGTGACTGTCCATAAAAATAAGCAGTGCTGTTACCAGCCTCATTGCTTCGGATTTAGCAGTCCAAGGTTTGCTAGTGTTATTTTTAACTGGTCTGGAATTAAGTTATTGTATTTCATAGAATCCTGGAATTGTTTGGGATGGAAAAGACCGTAAAGCTCATCCAGTTCCAGCCCCCTGCCACAGCAGGGACACTGTCCACTAGACCAGGTTGCTCCAAGCCCCATCCAGCCTGGTCTTGAACACTGCCAGGGATTGGCAGCCACATCTCTGGGCACCCTGTGCCAGCGGCTCACCACCCTCACAGTAAGATTTGCAAGACTGGGTCCTGAAGCTTCAGAGCCATGGCAGTATCTCAGGACATGCAAAATATCAATTAACAAGAAAAAGAATTATGTCATTTGTATTCCAAACCACCTTTGTACGCATGCACTGATCCCAGAGTGAGCTCTATAGACACTGAGCCTTTCACCTGTTTACTTTGCAAGAGCCCAAGAGGGAACAGGAGTTGGTTTCTGACACAGATCACTTCAAAACTGAGGCTTCGGCTTCCGAATATTTTGAGACCTGTTAAGAGAAAAACATAACATTAAAAGATTGTATTATTTTAGTAATAATGCAATGAGCTTGCTAAATAGCCTGACTAAAGGAAAAGGGATTTGAATGGGAAGTAACACCTCTGTTCCTGTAAATCAGAGATTGAAGGGAAAAAACAGTTTCTCTTTCACTTTGTCTGCTATGCAAAGGCTCCTACTGTTTCAAGTGGCTTTGGAGTAGATACTAAGCAAAGTGGACTGTACATGAGTCCACTGAGTACATTATTTCTACGTACTCAGGATCCTCTATTATTAGTCCTGCCTACTGTAGTAAAGTAGATAAAAGCATTTAAAAATATAAAGAGATCTCAAATAGCACTTAAGCCTATTTTTAATCCTCAACTGAAGAGATTTCAAGTGATAACATACTTTGCATTACATCCACATTGCCTGCATGGAATTGTATGCAGCAATCACTGGCTTCATCGTTCAGATGCATCTGAACTGAAATATTAACCTGTGCATGTGAAGATACTGTTGGTAAGGTATTAGTCCCAAATTGTAAGTGTATAAATGATTGCATGTGTATAATTGTATGTGTATAAACAAGGAAAATGGGTTTTCTCTGCAACCAGCTTCAGCTTATAGGCAAATGAAAATGTAAATAAGGCTTTCGGTGAATCACTTCTTTATGGACATGAGTCAAATCATTATTTTCACCATTTCAGAACTGCCCACAGTCTTCACAGTATTTACTATAAATATGAATTTGCTAAAGTGAATTGGCTGAGCTGGCGAATAAAAGCCAGCACCGGCCTCATAATGAAGTCATAAAGAAAACTGCAACAGATAAGTTCTGAAAATGATGGAAATCTGCAATGGCAGCAGTGTGCTCTGCCAAAAATATCCCAAGTTTCAAGGTGATCCTAGAGCTCAGATGAAATTATCTGCCTATAGATACGGTATATTGACCAGGTATCAGGAGGTGATCCTGCCCCTCTGCTCTCATGAGACCTCACTTGAAGTATTGTGTGCAGTTCTGGTGTCCTCAACATAAAAAGGACACGGAACTGCTGGAACAAGTGCAGAGGAGGCCACAAGGATGAGCAGGGGACTGGAGCACCTCCTGTATGAAGGTAGGCTGAGAAAGTTGGGGCTGTTCAGCCTGGAGAAGGCTGTGTGGAGACCTCATAGCAGCCTTCCAGTATCTGAAGGGGGACTATAGGGATGCTGGGGAGGGACTCTTCATTAGGGACTGTAGTGATAGGACAAGGGGTAATGGGTTCAAACTTAAACAGGGGAAGTTTAGATTGGATATAAGGAAGAAGTTCTTTACTGTGAGGGTGGTGAGGCACTGGAATGGGTTGCCCAGGGAGGTTGGCAATTTTCCATCCCTGGCAGTGTTCAAGTCCAGGTTGGACAGAGCCTTGGGTGCCATGGTTTAGTGTGAGGTGTCCCTGCCCATGGCAGAGGGTAGGAACTGGATGATCTTAAGGTCCTTTCCAGCCCAAACAATTCTATGATTTTGTCAAAGAAAGTGCATTTCCCAATATTATTTCCCTATTCTGATGAATAGCAATCCTGCCCAGGCAACCAAGTCATTTAAAACTGAATTCCACCTTCAGCATTTTGAGAAGAAGGAGTTTACTGGGTCAGGATGTGACACGGAAAATAAGTATAGGTATAAACCATATCACAGTAAACATTCAGCTCAGACCACCTACCAGCAGCCTTCAGCAGCAGAGTGACATTTAAAAGCAATCAGAGCCAGAAGAGACCCTTCAGGGAACACAGACAGTAGTTTAGGAAAAGCAGCTTTACTTTTGCCAGAGGGAAAAAGCTCAAGACCTTTGGGAACAGTGCTCAAGTCAACCTGAAACAAGGATTAAGGAAAATAATGGAAATATAATAAGTGCTTCTTCTCTTTGGCAGAATTATAACAGCATCTTTGCAAGTAAATTCTTTCCCTGCTTGCTTCTGTTTTGGTTTGTCCTTACCCTTCAGTGGTCCCTGTGCCAGGAAGTGTTCACTACTCTGATGTTTAACTAACGAATACGTGAAAGGTAAAGCTGCACGTGGTCACATCCTTATCTTTTGAATTAACATCATGACTGAGCAAAATTCCCTGCAAATCCGTAAACTCAAACATGCAGCAGCAGGAAGGAGAACCCACAGTGCCTCACGGAGAAAGGAGGACACCAGCAGCATCTTTCAATATGTCAATGGGAGCAGTAGCAGCCTTGGCACCACCCTGCTTGCACAGGTTATCCCTACCACATTAAGGGATTCACATTTCCCTTAAAGAAAGGCAGTTTCAGGGCTCCTGTTGAAAATTGTAATTCGAGTGCTGCTAAGAAATCCTGGTGATGAGAGGAGTGTGTTAAGGGTGCCTAAGTCCTTGTTGAAGCATCCTTCTAAGCAATGAATAAAACCACAATGAAGCCTTGCATCCCTTCTTGGCTTGCCATCAGCAGCCAAACTTACCTTCCCCCTATACAGCAATCTCCTCTGTAAAAGAAAGAGGCATGCAAAGGGTTTAAAAACTGAGGAATGCTTTCTGTAGCCCTTGGAATTAGAAGTTATGGGGATCCAGTGCAATCAGTACACATAGCCTAAATACCAGTAATTCTCCTCCCCACTATAAAGGCAAAGTACTTCAGCAAAATCTCCGTCAGCGTTATTAATCATCACATATGATAGCTTCAGGTAGCTGTTACTGAGCAGTACTTGCATTGGAACTGAAGCTGCTGCTGCCCTAAGTAATTATATTAACCCCTGTTTGATACTGGCGTAACATGGCTTTCTGTGTCCCAAAGACGCAAGTGCCCAGTCCCAGAGGAGGCTTGGATTTGCAGGTACAGTGGTACCCGCACCACAGTGGTGTGTACACCTCGTGGCAGAGCAGCATCCTGAGGAGCCACTGGTGGTGGTAGCAGGGATAACGGTGAAAACAGACTCCCACCACGCACCCCATCAACATGGACATCTATGAGCATGAACACCACGGTTTTTGCCCCCTGTAACTGGAGTCAGACTTCATGTATGCAGGTTGTGCTTCTTAACCAAACCCTGTGGGTCACCCCTCTGAATTCAGGCATCTTACAGGAGGTCTTTACATACAGTCTTTGACTCATCTTAGCAACCAACAAAAGATTAGTCCCTGTGTTGTGCCAGATAATACTCTTAGTCACTCGAGTGTTCCTTCTGCCTTTTTCTGTTTGCCTGAATGCTTTGTTCCTCTGTATGGAGGTATTGACATAGCTTTCATCAAATTACAATTAATTAATGCTAGCAGTTAGTGAGAAAAAACTCATTTACAATCTAGCTGCTGAAAGTGAGATTTGATGGCATGTAGCTTGCAAGACAAAAAAAAAACAAGAGAAAAAGATATGAATGGTAGATCTCTTCCTGCTCTTGGTTAAGAAATCAGTATTTCTAGGCAGGTGGACAAAAGCTGAAGAAGCCTTGTTGTTCTCTTAAGTTAATCCTTAAACGAAGAATAACAAAAAAAAAAACATTTAGGAAATGGCTGAAAATTACTTGTAAGATATAAAGGGGAGTAACAGAAAAACAAAAGCCAACCTGACATTTATAGAGTCATAGAATGGTATGGTTTGGGTTGGAAAGGACCTTTAGATCATCCAGTTCCAACGCCCCTGCCATGAGCAGGGACACCTCACACTAAACCATGGCACCCAAGGCTCTGTCCAACCTGGCCTTGAACACTGCCAGGGATGGAGCATTCACAACCTCCCTGGGCAACTCATTCCAGTGCCTCACCACCCTCACAATAAAGAACTTCTTCCTTATATCCAATCTAAACTTTCCCTGTTTCAGTTTTAACCCATTACCCCTTGTCCTATCACTACAGTCCCTAATGAAGAGTCCCCCCCAGCATCCTTATAGGCCCCCTTCAGATAGTTGTTCATCTGTGCCATAGCGAGAAGGGCAAATGCTTTATTTCAAAGCTAAATACCTTGTTCTCCTGCACACAGTTCACCTTAAAGACCATTTGACCAGACCATCTGTTTGCATTGTAATTCACATTCAAAAGAGTGACTCAACATAAATATTGACTCACGAACAGGTTCTAGCTTAGGCCTTAAGTTAAGCTGCCATGATACATTTAAGCTCTTGCGCAAAGAGCTAGAGGAACATTGGTCACTTTTCCCTTTCATGTTACATACAATCAGTCAGTCAGTACTCCAAATACAGGTCAGATCCTCTCACAAATCTAAATCAACTTATAACTTCCCTTTGCCCCTTAAACAATTGTAAATACCAGTGCCAAAACCCTCCAAGAATCATTAGTTCTTCTTACACTGATGTGAAATATTACAGAATCATAGAATAGTTAGGGTTGGAAAGGACCTTAAGATCATCCAGTTCCATCCCCCCTGCCATGGGCAGGGACACCTCACACTAAACCATGGCACCCAAGGCTCTGTCCAACCTGGACTTGAACACTGCCAGGGATGGAGCATTCACAACCTCCCTGGACAACCCATTCCAGTGCCTCACCACCCTTACAGTAAAGAACTTCTTCCTTATATCCAATCTAAACTTCTCCTGTTTAAGTTTGAACCAATTACCCCTTGTCCTATCACTACAGTCCCTAGTGAAGAGTCCCTCCCCAGCATCCTTGCAGGCCCCCTTCAGATACTGGAAGGCTGCTATGAGGTCTCCATGCAGCCTTCTCTTCTCCAGGCTGAACAGCCCCAACTTCCTCAGCCTGTCTTCATACAGGAGGTGCTCCAGCCCCTGATCATCCTCATGGCCTCCTCTGGACTTGTTCCAACAGTTCCATGTCCTTAAGTCTAGCCAAGATTCAGTCTCATGAATTGTTGCCATAAAAGCTATTGAGAAAGAACTTGGTACTAACTCATTCTTTGTACTTTTTACCTGTGAAGCCAAAGACTGAAATGGCAGGGACTCACCTGTGTTCTGCTGTAATCTTTTAGGGGCACCATTAAAGTATACACAGAGCAAGAAGGAAGGATTCTTCCATTCACTTGGTCAGGTATATTGTTTCTAAACTGCACTCTTAAATAATTTCTTTGTTGTCTACACCTTCTGCAAGGGCAGAAGAACAGGGAAAAGAGCAGAGGGTTAATGTCAGCAGCACAGATTTCATATTAACCCAAAATACTAGATTGAAGGAAAATGCTGAGCATTACAATAACGGATGACTGCTCTAATATACCCTAGGAATTAAGCCAATTCTTGCATTTAAATCTGCAAGATTAAAACAATGGCTTAAAATCACTTTTGCTCTGCCTGGTCTTGAAGAGGCAACAGCTGGCCCTGAATTTGTACTTCATATTTAGTGTTGGCCCAGAAATACACCACTGTTGTTTCACTGCTCCTGGGGATTGTCAGAGGGACATATTTCTTTACAGAGAGAGCATATCGTTTATAAGTGATAGACATAAATTTGAGAAGCAGCATTGAGAAATAGCCCTGTCAGGAAAGTCTTGTTTTCCACATTATACCAAATAACTTTACTTAAGGGTGTGTGTATTTATACACACACTATACACACACACACACGTCTATATACCCATACACAATTTGGGAGGCACATCATTTTTGTGTCCAGCACTTACGTTCCCTCCTGTAGTAAACTATGCAGTTTCCTTTCACCAAAATAACATGGCACAAGTTTGAGTCCAGTATACTGCTGAGGGATGTGCAACAGCAGTGTTCCTTTCATAAGGATTCAGCATTTACCTGATACATATCCGTGGATATTCAGCTACTAAGGGGAATATGCAGTATAAGGGATACAATGCAAGTAAATTCTGCGGTACCAGATTTGTGCTGTAAACAGAACCATCAGATTTTATGCTAGCCAGAATCTACAGGGACAATTAAAGTTTTAGGTACCAAATCCAACATGCTGCTGGATTGGGTTGTTTTGTCCTGCATTCTGCAGGTAAGTCAGGATGTTCAGTAGCAATGGGGCAGGTTCGTGACTCCCGCTTTTAAGTGCTTATAGAAGGACTTGGGGGGTGTTGGTTGATGAGAAAATGAACATGGGCCAGCTTCAGTGTGTGCTTGCAGCCCAGAAAGCCTTTTGGATGAGGCCTTGGGTGCCATGGTTTAGAGTGAGGTGTCCCTGCCCATGGCAGGGGGGTTGGAACTGGATGATCTTAAGGTCCTTTCCAACCCTAACGATTCTATGATTCTATGATTCTAAAGCCAACCATATCCTGGGCTGCATCAAAAGGAGCATGACCAGCAGGTCGAAGGATGTGATCCTGCCCCTCTACTCTGCTCTCATGAGACCTCACCTGGAGCATTGTGTGCAGTTCTGGTGTCCTCAACATAAAAAGGACATGGAACTGTTGGAACAAGTCCAGAGGAGGCCACGAGGATGATCAGGGACTGGAGCACCTCCTGTATGAAGACAGGCTGAGAAAGTTGGGGCTGTTCAGCCTGGAGAAGAGAAGGCTGCGTGGAGACCTCAGAGCAGCCTTCCAGTATCTGAAGGGGGCTATAGGGATGCTGGGGAGGGACTCTTCATTAGGGACTGTAGTGATAGGACAAGGGGTAATGGGTTCAAACTTAAACAGGGAAAGTTTAGATGGGATATAAGGAAGAAGTTCTTTCCTGTAAGGGTGGTGAGGCACTGGAATGGGTTGTCCAAGGAAGTTGTGAATGCTCCGTCCCTGGCAGTGTTCAAGACCAGGTTGGACGAAGCCTTGGGTGAGATGGTTTAGTGTGAGGTGTCCCTGCTCATGGCAGGGGGGTTGGAGCTGGATGATCTAAAGGTCCTTTCCAACCCTAACTATTCTATGATTCTATGAAGGGTTTTTCAGCTCATATGGTTCAGTTTGGTTGTTTTTTTTTGTCTGGCTTTAATAATGCCACCTTTGTCATTTCAAAATACAAGGCCAAAAGAAGCTGGCAGCATCCTTTGTCCAGCAGCTCCCCGTTACTTCTCTTTGTGTGGAAAAAACAGGAAGTTGCCACTGCTGCTGTAACATTTGACATGATAATGTGTGAAAAACAGGATGTTCCCTGACCTGCTTACAGGTACTGTGGCAATTCCATCCGTGCCCAATTTTCCCTAGCTGAGGTTGTTGAATATGTTAAAACCCACAGGAACAGGCTGTCTGAATAATGAGGGATGATACAAGAAATGTCCAAGTCCTCTACAAACCACCAAGAAAACAAGTGTTTGCCCTCCCTCAGGCTCGTGTGTTATAATAATTCCACCCTTAATGATGTGTGTGGGGATAAGTTTGCAGGAGGGAGATAAGGGATGAAAGCAACCTTCTAAAGGAGAAAATATGAGAAGCCTATGGGGCACTTCAGGTGTCGTTTAAGTAAAAGAAACTGTGATCTAAATTCTCCATAATCCTTCCTCTAATTCCTCTGAATTAGCCTGTGGGAATCTCTCAGACCTCACAAAACAAATAGGCCTGAACAACAGACATCAGACCTCACTGATGAGGCCTCTTCTGGCAGAAGACATGGCACAACCATAGAATCATAGGTTAGTTTAGGTTGGAAGGGACCTTCAAAGCTCACCTAGTTCCAGCCCCCTGCAGTAAGCAGGGACATCTTCAACTAGATCAGGTTGCTCAGAACCATACTTGAATCAGCCATTATTAAAATGGTCACCATTAAAAAAATCAGTTCAAACTAAATTCCAGTATCCTTAATAACAGTAGTCCACAAACCAGCAGGAATACTAACCTAGGAAATGCATAAGCATTGGCGTTACATGGTGAAAGCAAACTCAGGGCACTTTTCAAAGGTGTTGATTGACAATGAAATTGAGTACTCTATGCGGTTTCGTGCTGGTATCTAGTCCGAGAGTGTGGTCTAGGCTCTTCTGCAATGCTTCATTCACAGAAGTAAAGATGGGTGAGATCTGTCTTTGGCTGTCAAGCTGTGAAATGATCTGGTCCTTTCACACTGCTCAGTAGCTTATCCAGTGAAAATGATTCCTGGAGAGTCAGGAATTTCCAGGGCTAAGGATTTCTCACTCTGATGAGGATTCCTGTGTCCAATCCCACTTTAAGCAAGATGAGGAGAAAGGAGGATCTCCTTTTTCCAGGGAGAAAGTCATGATCACAGTATCCTATGCCACACTCCAGCTGTTTTGAGTTACCCACTGTAACTAAAGAGGCTGAAAGAGGCTGCAGGGAGCACAAGGATGGGTAACATATGCTGAGGAGCTCAAGGACTGTTTGGGATCTTGGCTAAGCACTGAAGTGGCTTGGACACCTTCCTTCCCCAGCATTATATTCATGTACCAAATGCAGGGTGGAAAATGAGGGTCCCACCCACAGAATTACTCTTACAATCAAGTTCATGGTTTGTGGGTGTCTCTTGCTCACATTAAGGTACTCACTCACATTACTGTTTGATAACGTTGGTCTAACATGAAACTAAGGGGTTTAAGTTCTAATTCATTCATTTAGTCACAGGAATAGAGGTTTGAAGTGAGTCAAGGCTGGAGTACTGGCAACCGTGAAGTGCCAGGAAATGAAAGGAAAAAACACTGCATGGAGTAAAGCGCCTCTTAAATGCAGTCATCTAAGATATATGGTAACACTTAATACCCCTTAAAAGCCACAAGCCAGCTGCAGAATGTGACATTTCGGTCTCAAGAATCACGCATTCCATAAGGAGACATGAAGTTCTTTACCATCAGAGGGCTATGTCTTAAACTAGAATACAGAAAACTGTATGAGCAGGTCCACAGTGAGTAACTTCAGTGATATATAACAGAGCTGCAAGTAGCCCTTAGCTAGAAATGTACTTCACTGGGTTTAGCTCTACTCACTTGTAATTCATCTGCATATATATTAGCTACTTCATGCACAAACATGCAGTTAGACACACAAGTCTGAATTTTGCCTTTCAAGGTGGATATAGAAATAGAAGCTAAACTGGTGGGTAGGAAGAAGTTGAAAGGGAATCTCTAGCCCTGTGCTCTCTCGTATGCCCTGCCCAATGGAGCAGCGGAACTGAAAGGAGAGAATTCAGTCAGGACATTTCATGTTACATTCCCGAGCTTGGGGTTTTGACATGGTCACCAACAGGAGACTGCAGCAAATCTCACAGTTAGGAACAGCTTCCAACCCGTATTCAGCTGGCTGGGATAGCCAGAAGGCAGCGTGCTGCAGCCGCATGCCCATGGACTGCTGAGCACGCTGGTTGCCATGGGAGTAATGGCTCTGGGGGTAATTCAGGCTATCCAGGGTTTCCCACGATAGGGAATTTACAGCTGGGAAGCTGTGCCTAAATTCTGCTCCCATTGAGTGTAACAAAGAAAAGCAAGCATGGATGTGGGTGCCAGCAGCCATGGGCCCAGACCTGCCACGTGCTGCACCCTTTTACTTCACTTCTGCTCTGCAGGTTTTTATCACCCCCAAATTTGGCAATATGCCTGGAAGTGACAGGAAGCACCGCTCAGGGAGACCACTGGTGAGGAAACAAAGGTAAGCATTTAGCTCCACTATTCACATCTTACCATTAACAAGAAGAAAAGCTTTGTGGCTTTTATGCCAAACCCTTCTCAGTGATTATATGCTCACTGTATATAAAAAACAGGTACGTTGGCTTTACTATACAGCATATATGCACTGCGTACAAAATCAGATCACTTACTAACTTGTGTACAGAAATGCAGCCTTCATGCATCCCTTTACCTTTGCCACAGGTAGTGTGCACGCTTGCAAAGTAGCTGTTTAAACCCCTTAAAATTAGCCCCCAGGAAGAAGTGCTCACTGATTAAATGCTGCAGATCATTCTCTGAAGTTAACAGGCCTGCTGGGATCAACAGGAATAATGGAATTAAGAAATGGAAAACATTACAAAATATTGGGAGCATTATTAATTGCAAGATTACTGCTTTACATAGGAGCTCTATAAAGCTGGGCTCACCTGTAACTAAAACACCTACCGCAGGAGATCCTGTTTGGATGGTTCTTGCCTCTTTAATGACAAAGGTCCGTTTTATCCCTGTGTAACTTCACGCAGCACAAGAGCCTGGACTGAAGGCTTGAACACTATGAAGAAAATACAAATGGCATTTTGGTAACTTTTGAAGCAGTTGACATGAGCTGACATTAAGCTGCTTTCCTGAGCAAAGGTACTTACCACAATGCACTGGAGATGTAATCCTCAAACCCGCAAAACCAAATCCTCAAAACCTCAAAACTTTCTTTAACACCTCTTTCAGAGGTGTTATTTCTTATACACCAATCTCTTCAATCTTAGAGAACACACACAAACCCCTTGACCTGGCTGCAATAGCCGGTTACTTTGAAACTGCAGTACTGTGACCCGCCAGAAACACAGCATTGCTCATCTTTGACAAGCTAAACCCCAAGCTGAAAGAAAGGAAGGCAACGTTAGCATCCACACCACCACCACCACCACATGCAGCGTATTTGGGAAGCAACGGGTTTTCAACGACCAACACTGATCAAGTCACGGGGATTACTGAATTTAAACCCCATCAGTGTCACCAACTGAAGGTATTTGCATGTGTATTACATCAGATTTCACAAGAACAAACCCGTGTTGTTTTCAGTCTGCTTTAAGAAATGAATGTTTAATGCTTTCCATAATGACACACTTGCAGGAATAGTTCTGTGGATGAAACTCAGGCCTATTTACTCATTAAGAGTGCCCATGAGTTTACTCCACTCACAAGCCTGAACTAATCTGCACTTTTCCTGCAGCTGGGTAAAACTGCACTTCCTTGGCTGTAAACTTGCAATTCCCAGAGCCCATTGCAACACACCCTCTTCATGTTAAGTAATCCTCAGCTACAACGGGCTTTATGAAGGCAAAGATACTCTTCAAAGGGTCTTGAACCTTTACTTGAAACTCCTTCCCAACCCCTCCTCTCACCCCCATAGTTCTATTTTTATGGTATATGCTTTAAACAGCAGTTTCTGTAATTCCTCCGGTGTACCCTTGCAATAAAAGCATTGGCAGAGAAAAGAAGTAATAAATCAAAAGAGGAAAAACAACTCCGTGCTGGCACACATTTTAAGGCCATAGGTGATCCGTGCAGGGAACAAGAACAGCACAAACCAGCTTTTGATAAAGGAACAGAGTGATGAGGAATACATTTACATTGGGAAATACTCAACCAAAACGCCTGAATTAAGAGCATGCCGAGTGCCAGAGGTTGGGGATGCAGCGTGTGGTACTGAGCTTTTTGCTTTAGACAATTAAATGAAGCAATGAGATTTCAGAAAGCAGCCAATTATTGTAGGCCTGAAACAAAGACTTGAAGGAAACAGAGCTGCCTGTGTGTCGGGAATGGAGAAAACAGGGCATTGCATCTAAAATATTCATGACACCCAATTTGTGCAAGGCTTCAACTCGGTAATGACAATCTTAATATGGTATCTATAATTGGTATCTGAAAAAATCATAGGAAATGGGAAGCAAGTACTGAAGGGGAGTATGAAGCAACATGGAAAAGCAATCCTCCTAAAGGGAATTCTCCCGAGATGCCACTTTTTACTCTCAACATGATTTGATGGCTGTTTTCTCTCCAGGCTGTAAGGAAACAAGACTCTCAAGAGACTAAAAGGAAAAGGGTTTAGTAATTCCTCCCAGGCAGATCCTCCTGCAGAGTATCATAGAGGATTTGATAAAATGGGTAATTAAGTTACTCATCTCACGGACTCAAAGCTTTTAAGTACACGCTATCGCTTCAGTGCCTGCATATCCTTCACGAGACACCAAAGCCTCTATCAATTTAACTTCTTAACACATCCTCTAAAAGCCTGGACAGGTTTAGAATAAGCTATAAACTGGTTTTAATTAATTATACACCAAATACAACAGCCTTGCCACAGAACGCCTAGCAGAGGAAAAAGAAGGAAAGAATCACAAGGCACTTACTCACAGAACTCCTATCTCCCATACACACACTCCGCTGTGACTCAGTTTGAAGCTCCTGAGGGCTGGCAGAGATTTGTTTTCTTTCTCAGTTCCGAGACTGACTGCACTCAAATGCTGCTCCTGCCAGGAAAACTACAGCCTTTCTAGCACTTTTGAGTAGTGAGGCCCAAAGAAGCCCTAAAGGCTCCATCCCTGGCAGTGCTCAAGGCCAGAGCCTTAGGTGACATGGTCTAGCGTGAGGTGTCCCTGCCCATTGCAGGGGGTTGGAACTGGATGAGCTTAAGGTCCCTTCCAACCCAAACCTTCTCTGATTCTATGACTTCTGAGACATCCAATGACAACGCTGTTTGCCTTTTCTTTCCCCCCCCACCTATGTTCCAAGAACATTGGTCACATAACCCATTTAGCATCACTCCTTGCTTTAAAAGTGTCCTTCACCTTCTCCCAATTAGGGATCTCATAACAGACAGCAACCCCATAATATAATGAACCAGTCCAATTTATTTTGGTTTTAAGGAAGTATTTTTAATGAAATGTGCACAAAGTGAGACAATAGAAAACTTGGAATTAAAAGTTGTAAAAATAACTTTTGAGTCCAAAAAGCTTCATTGGAAAATAAAAGCTCACTCCCTGGATCACAACACATCTCCTTACAAATTGAGCCCTTTTCCCTTACCCCTCCCTCCCAATGAAAAATTTTTGTTCCATTCATTCCATTTGATCTTTTCCCCACATAATTAAGTTTTTAATCTCTAATAAAAACAGTTTAATTGGCCCTGAGGTACTGCATGGATTGATGCAGTCTAGATCATGGCTTTCACACACAGCAGAACATCCACGGTGTACAACTCCTTAAAGAAACGAGGGATTTTATCTTATGAAACAGAGTATTTCTTGCAGCTGACAAGCACTTGGATACAACTAACAAGTTATCCTTACCGATTCCTACGGTATCTTGGTTATATGCAGCAGGCAGGATACTTCTGTTCATATTCCAGATAAATCTACCTTCTGAGAACCAAAAGACTTAGTACAAGTGGGTAAGAAAAACATGTTGCTGCTCAGATTGAGCTCAGAACTGCTGCACAGCTGTCTCACCACAAACATAACTCATCCTGCTAACTTCACTTCTCCTCCACTCTGCTCACACAGACTGCTTAGACGCATAAAGCAAAAAAGGATGAAGTAGTATTTTTCTTTAAATGCTATAGAATGAAGACTGTACCTATTAAATAAAACCCTCCAGAACATCTGAGGTGGTCATTCAGCTGAAGTGCAGACTGGATCTCCTACTGCAAGTCTGAAGCTGGCAACTGACACAACTGTTGGAGCAAGTACTTAAGAGGTCTGTACCTGCCTAAAAGGCAGACAAATGGGAACTTCTGTATTTACCCATCGCTTCTTTGCATGCATACAATCACTGATATTTAATATACAATGATTAGAAAAACACTTGTGAGTATCAGTTAAGGCAAAAACTTACTGAAATGATAAGTTCACATTACAGCACCTTCCGTTAACTGTGATCAAGTTTTCAGGTGTGATTGTGAAAACCAGAGGCAAAAACTTGAAAGTTATCAATGTCACAGCGTTTATGCAGAGCAGTGGTATGTTACACACTGACACCTGGCTTTCACAGTAAAGGCACCATGTATAACTGAAAGGGGCTCAAAGTCACAGGAAAAAAGGAGCCTCTCCTCTCCCAGTATCTGTGAAGATGTCTGCAGTAACAAACAATCCTACTCATTCCAACATAACGATTTCAGAGGACTTTCACCCCTCACATACAGAACAGTTCTCTACAGCCCTGCATGTCTTGAAGCTTGTGCAACTTTTCCACCCTTAGCTTAGGCATGAAGGCCATTTCTGAAGTCTGTTCCACATTAAAGCTGAATCTGGTCTCGTTCATACCCTCTTTGCTCTGCAAGTTGCTCACAACCACTTCCAAAAGGTGTTAAGGCACAGGAATGAACTAAACAACTGCAGAGGACTTGGAAGAGTTGTTGGATCTAGAGTAACTTCTGAAGACAACAACCTGCGGTGCAAAGCAAAAGCAGCTGATCTTCAAGGGATACCACTAAAGAAAAGTCCATATTATGTATCTGCTCTCAGGAGGCTTTCACACCCCTTCGCTAAACCCAGTTTGTTTTCTAGGCTGTTACAGTACAGTTTTGTTACTATGAGCAGAGATAACTGCAGATGCGTATGAGGTAAGCTGCAACTTCCAGCAGACATGACTGGGATACAGACATCTGTGATGCAGGTTCTGAGAGGATTCCTAGGAAAGAATCTTGCACTGACGGCAGTAAAGAGAGGCTGATGTAAAGATCTGTGACACACACGCAGTTTCTTTCACAGCTTCAGGAGAACATCGCCTTCAGGAGGAAGGCAGGCACTCGATGCAGACATTTTGATTTCAATTAGTTAATTTTCAACAATTTCCTGCCAATAAAAAGCCACCACAATAGTTCCTACCCTCCTCACACTGCAGTTGTGGAGCCAGAGGTTACAGTCATCTTCATATCCTTTTACAAAGAGAAAGTGTATTTGACAAATTATGGAAGACAGTATCTTATGCTACTTACAGAGAAAACCCAGTACAGAGCTAAGCTATTCTTTCCCCCTTTCATATTACAATTAAAATAGGCCACCAAAAAAAACAGCCTCCCCATGAAATTTTAACTACAGCTGCTGCAGAAGTGTCCCATGGATGCATTTTCAGAGCAGACACATCTGACAATTACCAGCAGTAAAGCAGATCTTGTTTTCAGGTGAGTGGTAGAAGGAAAGTGTGAGAATTCCTACAACACACAGAATTCGGGTCTTGTGCAAGTTCAAATCTCTTAAAGAAAGCATAAAACTACAAAGCATTACCTCAAAGTTATTTGGTTTTACGTTAATCTTCATCTGACCACAAATCAACATATTAAGGCATGTAAGTTAATAGCAGAAAAAGTAACTGAGCCACCAATACTGAGTTTGGTTCAGAAGAGTGGAAGGCACTTGGTACTTCTCTCCTCCTCGCTGGGGGATGTGGGATTGTTTTGATGTTGATGTAAGCTGGTTCCAGCATCCAATTGTGAGAGCTTCTGTTCAACTATGTCTGCCACCAAATTCTTATGGCAGCCCCGAAGGGCTTTCAGTAAGTCAGCCACCTTTGCATCTTTTCCCTTCCCTTTCTGCCACGCTCGCAGGGACTGAAACAACTGTTCATACAAGCTAAATGGATACTCTGCCACTATTCTTTCCATTTTCACTTCAGAAAGGCCCAGTTTTCGTGCCAGCATCTTCCAGTCTCTCCCGATATTTTCACATATGACTTCAAAAGCTGCGTTCTGAAGACCTGAAAATAGCAGAAATGTGTTTAGCGATGGCTTTACTGAGAAATAAAATACAACGTTTAAAAGTTGGTTGAAGGTGGTTTTTGTTAGCAGAAAACTACTACTCTTGTTGTCTCACACCAAGTTCTGGAAACCCACTGGATATACCCGGAATCCCAGGTACACAGCACGAACTGCAATGTACTGTTGTATGATGCAGGTATCCCTTATTGCAAGCGATCATTTGATAAGAAAGGAAAGAAATTTCCACCCCAGAAAGCAGTTTGCAGCATCTGCTGCCCTCAAGGCGCATTTCCAGGGTACAAGACGCTCCCTTGTACCAGCAGAAGCACCCTCAGCAGCGGGCTCAGCTACAGCCGCGTTCTGTATTGCCCCTAAACACCCCATAACGGGGTTGCCGGGGGGGGGGGGGGGGGGGGATTAAAAACTAATAAATCCACCTACGTTTTTCATGCGCATCTGGTTGATTATCAGAAGCACTAACTTCTCCTTGCTCCACGAACTGCTTTAGTTCTGCGACCAAGTCATGTCTGTTAATAGTCTTAAACAAGCCTTCAAGCAACGCCGTCTGGTCGCTTGTGATCAGCTGCTGCTCGAGGAGGATGCTGAAGAGCTCCCCCGCGCTCTGGGCAGCCTCAAGCTTCCTTTTCCCGATCTTCTCCCTCAGGAGGAACTTGAGGGAAGAGAGCTCATCTGCCGACAGCCTCGAGGAGAAAGAGTGCAGCAGTATCAGAAACGGATCCATCGCGCCGAGGCCTGCGCCGCAACCACCACGGAAACGCGTTCCTGTTATCACACAGCGGATTCTCGGGAGGCCGGGGAGCGCGGTCCCGAACCGGCACAGACCGAACCCGAGGCGGGCCGGAGCCGGCAGCGCCGCAATGGCGGACCACCGACCCTGACCCTCAGCCCGCGCCTGCTCTTCTCGGAAGTGACGTAACGCCGGCGGCGGGTTCCCGGCACGCCACAAAATGGCGGCCGCGCCTCTGGGCTGTGGTAGAGCTGGACTCTGCCCTTACTGAGGGTGAGCTCAGGGATAGCGCGGAGCGGAAAAAGGCTTCGGAGGCGAACGGGCTTGTTTTGTGATGGGGGATACGGAACCGTGTGTCAGGGCGGAGCTCGGGCGGTCTCCTGCCGCAGGAGGAGCAGGGTCGGGTCCTGCCACCTGAACCAGGCCGGACCTTACGGTGGGGGAACTGCAGGTTTCCCCATTAATGGAGGATTGTTGGATTCTTGTGAACACCCACACCTACAAGGGTTACTTTTACAAAAGGAGAACAGTATAAGGATGAAAGCACTTGCTCACTGAAGAGCAAGAAAGGTCATAGCAGAGCTCTGCTCCCAGAGAGGCACAGTCCCCATGGAGTCTCCCCAGGACAGCTGTATCCGCCCTCCCTTACCAGCCTCGGCTGCCCCCGAGGACTCCACCTTTCCCTGAAAACACAGGGCTGCAGCCTGGTCGTTGTTCCTTACGGAGATTGGTTGTGACATACACTAACTCCTGACCTTTAAAAGGGAGGAAACGGGTCAAATCTGAAGTGCCTGGATTCCAAGGGCAATTTTTATACAAGGTGAAGGGTGAACTTCTCATAAATGGGAAAGTTCAGGTTCGTGCCATTGTTTTGTAGGTCCCCAAAGCTCAGGCAAACACACGATGTTATTTCTCTGCATCACATGTAGGTAGTGCAGAGATCTCTCTGTTCCTGGTGACCACTGGCACATTGATTCCCCAAACTATCCCAGTGCCAATAGTTTCCAGTGCATCCTTTAACTTAACTGCCACATACAAATATACCCATGGTCCTTGTCATAAACAGATTGCAGTGTCAGGCACACAAGTTTAAGTGTTATCTTCCACATCTCCTTTTCCAGCCTCACATTCCAAGTGAGGAACAACTCCTACTCCCAAAACACTTCTTAACTCCCATAGGCACAAGACCAAGGGAGCCAATGTATGGAGCTGGCTATGCTCATGGAGTCCATCTCTGCATCCTCAGCAGTGGGCATGAAGTAAGAAAATGTGTATTTCATATAGAATACAAGATTTGTTTCCCATATATTCCTCCCAGGTTATATGAACATTGGGCTGCAACATCTCCTCCAAGTATGCATTCCCTTAAAATCATTTCCTTTGCTATGATAAACATTAGCAATATTTTCTTTGATTTTTAACTGGATAATCCTAAAATTCACAATAAATTTGGGGCTTCCAGCAGCCTCCCCCCCCCCCCCTGTTGCTTATGCAGGAAAGGCAACAGGGGGTACCTAATGCCAACCTTGAAAAGCAGCCAACATACTTATTACTCTCAGTCTCTCAGGTAAAATATTAAACCTGTTTAGAAGAGAGATCTTTTTTAGTCCCTAAATGCTGCAAATTAGAATCATAGAATAGTTAGGGTTGGAAAGGACCTTCAGATCATCCAGTTCCAACCCCCCTGCCATGGGCAGGGACACCTCACACTAAATCATGCCACCCAAGGCTCTGTCCAACCCGGTCTTGAACACCACCAGGGATGGAGCATTCACAACTTCCCTGGGCAACCCATTCCAGTGCCTCACCAACCTTACAGGAAAGAACTTCTTCCTTATATCCAATCTAAACTTCCCCTGTTTAAGTTTTAACCCGTTACCCCTTGTCCTGTCACTACAGTCCCTAATGAAGAGTCCCTCCCCAGCATCCCTATAGGCCCCCTTCAGATACTGGAAGGCTGCTATGAGGTCTCCACGCAGCCTTCTCTTCTCCAGGCTGAACAGCCCCAACTTCCTCAGCCTGTCTTCATACAGGAGGTGCTCCAGTCCCTGATCATCCTTGTGGCCTCCTCTGGACTTGTTCCAACAGTTCCATGTCCTTTTCATGTTGAGGACACCAGAACTGCACACAATACTTTAAGTGAGGAAATTAACCTATTGCAGGGTCTCATGGTAAAATAAATAGTGAAAGGAATTAGCATGTATGTATACATAATATATATATATATACATAAGAATGTATGCTGGGGTGAGATGTGCCTGTTTTAAGAGATGTATTTTCTCTCTGCAGCTCTGAATATACTTTAAGCTGAGGGAAAGAACATTAATTGCAAGGGTAGTGTGAGGGAAAGAACATTAATTGCAAGGGTAGTGTGATGCCAAGGAGAATTTGCAGTGTGGGGCTTAATTTATAAAGCAGACGTAAGCCTTAGTAATGATCTAAGAAGTATAAAATCCAGTTGAATAAAATCTCATTTACATTTTGCCAAGGAAGGTGACTGTACAAAACAGGAGGAGCCAAATCACATTGCTCATAGTTGTGCCTGGTGATGGCAGCCACCCAACTCAGAGACAAGGAAGTCTAATCAGTGCCATTTATAGCTTTATTCTCTATCCCTTGAGATGCAGTTGAAAGCAACACCGAGATTTTAATAGGTTCATATGAACTTAGCAGCCAGATTCAGCACTGAAGTACGAGGAGGTGTGAAAGCAATTCCACACAAGTGTAATTTAAAGGTGTCTAAATTAGTAACAAAAATAGAAGTAAAAGATAAGGATCATCATTTTATTAAGATTTAAGTCATTGCTTAAATGCTTTTAAACTCAATCCTAATGTGTGGCCTAGTGATTTAGTAGCCCCGTTTATTATGTGGGAATCTGACCCGTTAATGCTACTTTGACCCGTTCACAGATGAAGGTACTCTAGCAATGTGCTTTCCTCCAGTTATTTCCTTTGAAAGCAGTTCATGGGGCTTTAGGAAAGAAGGCATTTGCCAAGGTCAGCAGATCCTAACTGCTCCACAACAGAATAAAACTTAATAGAAATGATTTATTAGAGCAGCTCAGATTTCAGTGGAGGTTTCCTAGAAAAATGAAGTGTTATGAATGATCCAGCTCCTATCCAAAGAATTTGGAGGTTTCTTGAGGTGAGATTCCTTACAAAATACTGCAGAGGGAGCTCGAAGCCTGGGAGTGTTTCAGACTGAGCTCTTTGACTTCATGGTGGAGTAGCAGGGTAAAGAGAGCAAATATTGATTCATTTCTGTGGAGCTTTTGGTGGTGTGACCAGGACATTCAGTCCACAAACACCCACTTAGAGACTGGGGACATGGAATGGTGAAGCCCGTGGCTGCCCTTGGCAGGGCCTGTGCACTGTCACGTTGCATGAATAAACATGGCATGGGTGGCAGGTTGCTTGGGAGGGTTCATGGCTTATTAAACAGCTGCTTTAAAAAGCTGTATATTAACCATGTGCCCTGAGAAGTCAACGTTTTGGTACAATGCATGCAGCTGTACACAGGTGTGAACCACGGGTGACCAAGGTAAGTTTGCGTGGAAACTCTGAAAGATGCTTTGTGTTTTCCAGCTGAGGGAGCCCACATTTCTGGCTGGCCCTTCTTTGCTCTGCTGCGGGGCTGTGGAGATGTCTGATGGTTCTAATCCCTCCGGTGTAGTCTGATTTGCTGTTAGTGCTCATTAGCAAGTATACAAGTTGCTAAGTTCACTTTAGCATGTGAGGCAGCTATTCTGAGCAATTTCCTCCTGAAGATAAACCTATGAACAATATGATACAGAAATGCCCAATCTCATGCTGACTTATACCAAGGCATGTCCTCACACTTGTCTTCTGCTGTACCATACAGAGATACCAGTGTGGGTCTGAAGGCAAAATATCTCTTCAGGGTGAGGAAAAGCCATGGGACTTAAGTAATTTGTGAATCCAACACTTGCTTCAGCCCATTGACTCTCAAACCCATAGTGGGCACCCATCATGCAGTGGTGGGCTCTCTGACTGGCTGAGAATGAAGCAACCAAAGTTAAGATAGAACTGGAAGGTGCTATTCATCCAGGGAAATAATCTAGCAGTTCTGATTGCCAGGCTTGAAAGCTAATACTAATCAGTTTCTGAAGAGTGTATAGATTTGTTCTTTGTTTTCCTGAGTTGCTGTATTGCTAGTTCCCAAGCCCAGTAAACACATGAAAAGGTACATACTTACCACATTAAGATTTATTTTCTTGGATATAAAATAAATGGAAGTGGTTTTCTGCAGTCTCCTTCTTTGCATTGGAAAATGCAACACTCAGAGCAGCTATCAAGAACGGTTAAGATAACTTAAAATTAATTATTTTGCAGGAAATGGATCTTTTTTGCACTAGTTTACATCATTTGGAAGTACAAGCATGCAAAGTTCTGTAAGTTCTATATTTGGAAGTAGAAGCCTGCAAATAGTTCTGTACCACAGGACTTCATCTTCCTTCCCTTTCCTTACTGAGCACAGCAGCACTCAGTTGCCTGCTACACAGTATTGCTACACAGAGTGGCAGTGATTATTTTGTTGTGTCTGTGAATATTCCAGCTCTAATCTCTTCTGCATTAACAGACTCTGCTTTGGACCTGGTTGTTGTCACCAAAGAGAGGTGAAAAATGTAACCTTTCCCCAGCCACGCCTCTGCATCCAACCTGCAGAATGGCCTCTTCTCAGACCAGAATATATCTTGGCCTCTAAAAGTCTCCCAGAGTTACTAAAATTTCACTTTAATAAATAGAAATGAATGAGTCTGGCCACACTTGCTTGATTTCTGGGTTAAACAGCTCACTACAGTGACTGGAGATAATGCAAGCTCAGAAAGGGGGAATACATTTCCTTAAAACAAGTATTACCTTACAGACCTGTGCTTGGCAGTAGAATTACTCATTAGAGGAAAGATCAGTGGGTTTTTGTTCTTCCCCTCAGGAATGTGCCAATACAATATATTCTGGCTGGGTTATTACCTCACCGTCACTGAAGCTGGAAAGTGTAAGGGTTTTTCCAGATCTAAAAGAGAGGGAGTGCCTTCTCTGCTCAAACACAGCTCAGTTATTATCCTGAGCGCTCATTTCCTTTTAAAACATGAATAGTTTTATGCAACCAGTAAGTGACAGAAGGTATGAGTAGGTTAGTTACTCATAGGGGTTTTAGATATAATAAATAAGAAAGCATGTCTGGTTTTGTCATTGCCCTCTCTTGATTCCTGGGGAGGGAAGTATTGTTTTCTGCTCTCTAAAGAGACACTTTAATTTGAGCTAGTCCACAGTTCTGTAGACAGAAGCAGTTACAAGTTAGTCTTAAGCTGCGATGTATGTGGAGTTTATTTTCATACATAAACATAATGGACACCTATTGCATTTGTTCCCAGAGATGAAAAGTCTAAGGAGGAGCCTGACTTAGTGAGAGAAGAATGGATTAATATAATACAATATATACATTACAATAATACAACATAGACAATAGAAGTAACGAAGTTGCACACACCACAGCTTTGTCTGTCTGCCCTCAAAAAATCACATACTACTTTTTTTTTTGAGAAGCTCTTGTTTAGAGATACAACTGACATTAAATGATGTGTAACCACAGAGCAGACCCATGCTCACCCTCTCGTCCCTCAGATCTACATACAAGCACACGGGTTTGCTGTTATTCACCAGTTCTGGAGTGAGGCTTTTCAAAGCAAAAGTAGCCTATATTACATCTTTGCCAAGTACCTGAACCTGAAAGTGATTAACTGTCATTTCTTATCCACAAGAAGACCCTGAGATGATTACCAGCTTAGCTCTACAGCTCTCTGGTCAGAGCTGAAAGACAAGCATTGTAGAGAGGCAGAGAAATTTGGCTTCAGAAGTAAAGTTCAAAAAGACAAAAGTGCAGGGGTTTAGTAGAATTTCAGAGCTGACTCTCAGTTTTACTTCTGTCTTTGAAGCCAGGAAGAAGACATAACTGAAATTCACATTAATTTACTCTCAGGATTTTCACTGTTCCTTCCCTGTTCTTAAGTCCCTCCAACTCCTAATGGTGCCTGAGTGGAGTAAAATACCTCAATAGCTCTAGGAGTGTGGCCTGGAACCCAGCAGACTTCAGAGCCATTTTGTTACGTACCCTGTTTCTTGCTCACCTGAGAGGTTGTGCAGGAAACCTGGAGTAGTGCAGCCTGCTAAGATTTATTACTTTCCTACTTGATGGTTAATTACTTGCAATTACCTACCTTCTTTACCTGCAGATGTATCTGAAGATTAATACATTAAGAAATGTGATCTGCTCATCTAATTACACGCTCCTAGCAGGACAGATGGGAATTCCATGCTTGTGAGCACTGTGCCACAGTGACACAATGCTGCTGTCTCAGTTTAAAGCATCAGTTTAAGATCAGCTTGCACATCACCTTTGGGGCTTGAGAGACTTACCTACTACAGAAGCAAAGGCCTGGTACCAACTGGGACTCAACTGCAATGTTGGAAGCTGTGTGAGAGCTTATAAATTTTTCTGATCAATGTTAAAAATAAGTGTGTCCCTAGAAGAATCATTTATTTTTGATTGCCAAAGATCATGGTATTATTTGAAATTCATAGAATCACAGAATCCCAGACTGGTTTGGGTTGGAAAGGACCTTAAAGCTCATACAGCTCCAACCCCCTGTCATGGGCAGGGATGCCTTCCACTAGAGCAGGATGCTCCAAACCCTGTCCAATCTGGTCTTGAGCACTGCCAGGGATGGGGCAGCCACAGCTTCTTTGGGCACCCTGTACCAGTGCCTCAGCACACTCACAAGGAAGAACTTCCTTATATATGATCTAAATCTCCCCACTGACAGTTTAAAGCCATTTCCCCTTGTCCTATCACTTACATGCCCTTGTAAAATCCCTCCCCAGATTTCTTGTAGGTCCTTTTAAATTCAGCACAACAGTGGGAGAGGCGTAGTCATGAAGCACTCACTGATGCCAGAGAAGGACTTCTCTTTCTTACTCTGTTTTCAATCATTTCCTTGCACAGGACCAAAGCCTTCCAGCTTCCATCTAAACGTAAGGCCAACAGTACTGCACTGCTCAGGAGGATGAAGTGGCACATCACTACAAGAACGTGAGCAGAGGCTACCTGATGATAGCCTCGCCTCAGGAAGTGATTCTCTCTCCAGAAAAGCAACTTCTGTGGCTGATCTGCCAGCTAACTTGGATCTGAGACCATCAGTCAAAAGCCTTTACTTCCTCCCTTCCCTATTTGCAACTTTTCCCTAGCCTCCATCTGTATATTTCAGCTGGAGAAGACAGACACTCTTTTCATTTAGAAGTAAAAATTGGGAATAACCTTTTCTTCTGCTCTAAGGAGGATTCCTTAACCACCTGCATTTCATTCTTGTTTTGGAAAGCAGGCTTCGTTATGCTTTTGAGTTTGTTCAGCACAAGCACTCTGCTAAATATTTTGTGGTTTGATTCTTTTTCTCATGAGCATCCAGATGGATCCATTTTCCATTTTGGCCTGGATTTTCTCACACAGGTGGCACTAAGCAAGATGAAAGCCATGACCTCAAAACCTTCAAGATTGTGTAACAAAGTTCATGTGGCCGTGTCGTGCCTTTGATTTTCTGAGTCTTTTACCTTGTGGAAACTAGCACAACAGCGTGCACAACCCTTCACTGCTCACACAGCCTATCTGAGTCAATACATTGTGGCTTTACCTGACAGTCTGTGTTATAAAAGTACTGTACAGTGTAATAAATTTCCATTGTAAGTTATCAATAAGCAGTGCTTAGTCTCATGCAAAGTGTGATGCTGAATGGCTCCTAAATAAACATTGCTGTATTTGTAGACACCATTTGCAATTCACATCTGATTTACTTTCTAATTGAACAGTGCTTACAGAAGTACCAATAATGAAATGCATGTAAAATCATCTAGTACAAATACCCAGAGTGATACATGTCTTCGCATTCCCCACTTACATCCAGAGCATTTAGGAAATCCTGATCCTTCAGCAGCTTTCTTCATACTGTATTCAGTTGAGGGATGGGGGAGTGAAACAACAACATTAATAAAATCATAGAATCATAGAATAGTTAGTGTTGGAAAGGTCCGTAAGATCATCAAGTGGGAACTTGTGAAATTATTTTAGTAAATTTTAAAATAAAATTCAGGATTAAATTAATTTCTAATATAGAAAATACCTCCTTCAATGTCACATACACCTGCCAGAAACCCACTCTTCAATCATTTGTTCAGAACTTATCCTGCTGATACTGCACACAACACGTAGGATAAAACTGCCGCTTTCATTTTAGGATCAGGAACTTAGGAAGTTGAAAGATGTGACTTTGCTGGGATTTGAATGTGCTCTGTAGCAGCTAAATCATCCCCAAGTCCTGGGCATGGCAATGGTAGAAGTTCTATGGAACTTGATTATTTTTTTATACTAACCACAAAGTGCAAGTGTTAATTATTATAAAGGTTTATATCTACTAAGTGTAAGTATCTTTTCTGATTTGCAGTTCATATATGAAATGAATACACTGAACAGACAGAACAAGGCAAACAGAAAGTGTTTGGACACACTGTTTGAATAAAGTCTGCCACTGATGCAAGCCAAGACAAATCATCACATCCCTTTCCATTGAGTGGTAAAATGGGGTGATACTTACCCACCTTCTAAGGCATTGCAGCGGTAATTGTTCTGTGACTAGGAGGCTTAATTATTTGAACCACTCTGAGATGGAAGGTGCTCTGAAAGTCTGAAATGTAATCATTAATAATAAGAATGAAAACACAGAAAGAATAATTCCCAGTAGATTAACACAGAACCACAGATCAGTTCCAACCTTGTGGGTTGTTAACATAGCATTTCTTCCCAAGGGCTGCAGTAGGATCTTCTCCCCTTCATTCCTTTCAGCCACAGCTAGCTTCAGATTGCCTTTTGAATATTTAACAACTGCTTGGGACATTTTACTTATGGTAATTCCACATCATGCATCCCTGGGCTTCTAAATTCAGCACCAGGTTTTAGAACAAACAAAGCCAGTTGAATCCTTTGTGTGCAGATCACACAACCTTCCCTTGGCGTTTCCTGAAGGTCAACTGAAAACTCCAGAGGAGGTTTTGTTATTTTTCACACCCTTCTTTCCACCCACCATCAAATCAAGCAAAACTTCTCTTAATCATTATCAGGAAGACAAAAAGTTACAGTGTGGAGCAGTGGGCCAGGATTTCACACTCCATTTGCAGGGTAACTCTGAGGGCTGCAGATGTGCTGTTTGCTTTTAGCAGGCATCTCTGCAGCCATCACTACAATGCATGGGCAGCTTAGCTATTTATGACAGCTTGTCTCAAGGTGACTACATGAACATTAGGATGTCCATGGCAATCTGCAAATTGACCCATCCGTGTGGCATTTGACATGGAAAGAGCTTAATAATGCTGTAACTGAGAACAGAATCCAGCTTTATTTAGCACTGGTCAAAATTTCTTCATTGTAAATGTGTGTGCCAGGTGTGGGTGGTCCAACATCTCCAGAGTCTCTACCTGCACCACAGGATTTCTGTTCTCATTACAGAACTAAAACTAATCTGAGGTTTCTGAAGCATCAGTGTTCAACTGCTATCCCTGTACAGGAATCGTTGCGCTCCAGCTGAGCTTAGGCTTCCTCTTTCACAAATAACTGTGAGCCAGCAGCCTGTTTTCTCACCTTCTGCTCCACCTTCCTTCTGCTAATCTGTGTAATGTACAGTAGGAAATCCAAAATGAGGGGGCAATGCTAGAAACAGACTAACAAAGGGAAGTTCTGTGGAGGCTTTGAGAGTAAGCACCAGGAAACTGGGCAAGTAACAAATGCTACGAGGTTCTGTGTCTAGGAGGAAGGAACGTGGCTGGGATGCACTGGATACCTCAGCTCCGGAGCCTGATTCACTCTAAAATGCCTGAGAGAATTTGCAGTTGCACAGCAGCTGTGATGCTCCCCTGCCAGATGTCCCAGAGCACAGCCCTCACTCTGTCACTGTGTACATGCTGCTGTGCTATCCCGTTGTCTACCATAAGAGGGTTTCTGTCGCATGTGGGAGCTGCATACCTGGAGTATCTTCTGGGTAAGGAGCTGTTGGAGAGAGCCACTCAGAAATGATTTACCAGGTGCCTGCTTGATTTCAGGCCTAGCATGTGAATATTTTGTTTTGGTTGGTTCGTTGTGGGTTTTTTTGCCTAGCTGCTGGAAAAAATCCTCTTATAAAAGAGAATGGAGCTTATTCAGCTTTGTGAAAATCCATTGACTCATGTTAGAGATAGATTTGCCTCTCAGGACTCACAAGAAAGCAATCAGAGCATTTTGGTATGAAAAGAATTGTACCTGCTCCTAAAATCTTTCCTGGGGTAGAGCTTATTCTTCTTCTCACCCACACAACCAGCAAGCTCTGCCAGCTGGTACAGAGTAGGAAGCAGAACAATAGCTGTGCATCTTCTCCCTCTCACCTTGCTTTTCTCCATCACCATCCCACCTGACTGCATGGGAGCTGCCCTGCTGAGTGCTGCTCAGCCCTTCCCATGGTATATAGGAAGGAAACTCCTGTTCTTCCCCTGCTTTTTCTCTCAGGCCCAGTCACCCACCTGAACACCACCAGACTCAAGTTTGCCTTTAGACTGTGAGACCTTAGAGGTCCTCCCAGATGACATCAGTCTTAATGGCCTCCTATTGGCAGTCTCTGGGATCACCTTTTCCTGCCCACAAGCATTTACTGAGGTCAGGAAAACCACCCTGATATTTAAGAGTTGTTTGCAGAAGGAAAGGGGTGGGTAAAGACTGACACTGGGGGCTGAGTCTCTGTTGTATCAGGAGCTATTTGAAGAGTGCCGTTTGAAGGGTCAGACTAGATTTCGTGAGGGGCTTCAGGAGGGATCAACAGATCGACTTTATTTCATACAGTCCCAACTTGAGAGGCAGGATTCCTTCACCTGAAATTGTTCTTGACCTGTTTCTCAGCAGGACAAGTGGATTTTATGCAATCTGCCCCATCTTCTCTCCTTAAAACCCTTTATCTGACACCTCAAAATTGCAGCCTTTGAGGATTCATTATTTGACTTCTCTTTGATGCATCAGGATGCACACAGAAGCCTGATAGCTGCAAAAAGCCCCAAAGCAACAGGAATCCATCCATATACAATACTGAGTGTCAGAGAATCTTCACCCTTTCACCACAGCGGATATAACGAGGAAGTGAGTGTCCTATAACTATAAATGAGAACAACCCCCTGGCAACACCAGGTGCTAGCTGGCCTTCACTTGGATAAAGGAGTTTTTAGGTTGCATGCTCTGTTGCGTGCTGTGCTGATTCTCCTCACCGTTACAAACACCATCAAAGTCCCACTGCTGGTGCCAGAACAGCAAATGAAGGCGAGGAAAGAAGTGCTGTGACCCTGAGGCAGCACTCACCATGGCGGGGCAGGCTGAGGTGAGGAGAGCAGGGGCTGCGCAGCAGGCCAGAGGATGAGCCGACAGGCACCGCTCCCGTGAGGGATACGCGGACAGATGTGAAGGAGCATCCCAAGCGTAGCGCTTGACACGCAGGAGGGAGGGCGGAGAGCCCGTTGTAAGCTTGTAAAAGCCCCTCTCCAGACCGTTAATGGCGGCAGACACCGCTCCAGCACACCCCGACCCCTCACCTCAGGGCCGGCGCCTGGGCCCGCCGCAGGGACGCATCTGCGGGGGCAGAGCGCCGCCTGCTGGCGCGACGGGGAGCGGCGCCTGGGCAGAGGGAGCTGGGCAGCGGGGTCTGAGCTGCGGGGCCGGAGCTGCTTTTCCATGCACCTATTGCAGGGGCTGACGCTCCTGTGGGAAAGAATTAACATAATAAATAAAATAAAATAATAGAAATAATGAAATGAAACGAAACGAAACGAAACAAAACAAAACAAAACAAAATAATAAGACGGCCTTCCCAGAAGAGGAATTTTGCAAGTAACTGAGATCACACTAGAAGGAATCTGGGCGATACTGCACGTAGTTGAAGGCAGCCTTTAGATACTTATAACCACACAAGGTAGCTTTAATGTGTGCCAGTGAAAGGCTGCGCATCTCTGAACATTTGTATGCATTTACTGCATTCCCCAGTGATGTATAGAGATCTTTTTCTGAGAAACACAGAAATTCTTAAGGTGGATGAGGGATAATTGCTGTATCCATTTGTAACAATGGGCTCTGTTAGTGACTGGATTGGATAGAGTGAGAAACAGAACATTAGAAGGATTCAGGATCAATTGCTCCTCTGGCATAAAATGGACTCAATTTCAGACACTTTATTACCCCCTCGGTACTGAAGCAAGTACCCAGTGGAC